TATAGCTTATGCCTTAATCTCTGCAAGTGAGGTTCTAGACGAGGAATCTAAAGACTATAAGGAAGTTATGAGGAGTCGAAAGAAGACAGAAGGCCATGGATGATGAGATGAAATATCTTCATGATAACAACACCTGGGAACTGATCAAGAAACCTGTTGGAGCCAGGTTAGTCAGTTGTAAATGGATTTTCAAAGTTAAGGAAGGAATCGAAGGAGTGGCGTCAAAGAGATATAAGGCAAGATTGGTTGCTAGGGGGTTCACTCAGAAAGAAGGTGTCGACTTCAATGATGTGTTCTCTTCTGTTGTGAAGCACAAATCCATTCGAATGTTGCTTGCCACAGTGGCATAGTTCGACCTTGAACTGGAACAGATGGATGTGAAGACTGCATTCTTGTATGGTGATTTAGATGAAACAATCCTGATGAGGAAACCTGAAGGGTATGTCGAAAAAGGGAAGTAAGATTAAGTGTGCAGGCTGATTAGATCCTTATATGGACTAAAAAAATCTCCTCGACAGTGGAATAGGAGATTCGACAAGTTCATGGCATGTATAAGTTTCATCAGAAGTCAGTTTGACCATTATGTTTACTTTAGATTTCGACCAGGTAATTCATTTGTTATTTTGTTGCTCTATGTGAATGATATTCTAATAGCAAGCAACAATGTCGAAGAGGTAATAAGGGTGAAGGATGAACTCAATAAGGAGTTCGACATGAAGGATCTAAGAGTTGCGTCCACGATTCTTGGGATTGACATCCGAAGAGATAGAAAGCAGTCGAAATTATGCTTATCTCAAGAGGCATACCTACGGAAGGTTCTCAAAAAGTTTGGTATGTCGAATTCAAAGCCTGTTGTGACTCCAAAAAACCCTCAATTCAAGATGAGTATAGCTCAGTGTCCTAACACTAATGTTGAAAGAACTTATATGAATAGCATTTCATATGCTAACATAGTAGGTTGTTTGGTGTATGCTATGGTCTGTACTAGACCTGACATAACATATGCATTGAGTCTTGTAAGCAAGTACATGGCGAATCCTGGAAAGGCTCACTGACAAGTATTGAAGTTGATTTTAAGGTACATAAATGAGTCTTTGAATATAGTTCTAATTTATGGTGGAGCCTTGGGTGAAGATAGTAAAGCAGCAATCGAAGGATATGTCGACTCTGATTATCATCCATTGAAGCGGAATATATCGCCCTAACTGAAGTTGTGAAGGAAGCATTGTGGCTTGAAAGTTTTGTAAAGGAGCTAAAACTTCAAGGTCGAGTTATCACTGTTAAATGTGATAGTCAAAGTGCAATACACCTGTCGAAGAATTCAGCCTATCACGAGTGAACTAAGCACATTGATGTGAGGCTACATTTCTTTGGAGGGATAATCGAGCATGGAGAAGTCCAAATGCTGAAGGTTTTGACAGATCATAATGATGCTGATATGATCACCAAGACGTTGCCCAGTTGCAAGTTTTTCATTATATGCAGTTGATAAAGCTGCATGAAGAAAGCTAGTTTCTTGATGTTATAGAGTTAGATCCAAGGTGGATATTTGTGAGATGTTGGATCGAACTATAGTATGGTCGAATGGTAGCTTCTGGTTCAACAGGAATTAAGCATGAGGTCGAAGTATGTTTGCATGCTGCTGTCGGAGTAATGCGTGTGGTAGTTGAAGTTTGTCCTAAGATGCATTAGTTAATATTGCCATAGTTGTTAGAATGTTGAATTGGGTCTTGCTTGTAAGCCCAATTGCTTAAGTTAGCTTGTACCCTAAGTTAGCTTGTAATGGGTAATTGTTAAAAATCCCATTAGGTTAATGTGCTATTTTTCTTATAAATAGGATGTTAGTTTCTCAATCTTGGCATAAGGAAACGTAGGAAGATAAAATCCTAATTTTAAGAGAGAGAGAGAGAGAGAGAGAGAGAGAGAGAGAGAGAGAGAGAGAGAGAGAGAGAGAGAGAGAGAGAGAGAGAGAGAGAGAGAGAGATGTTATTTTGTTATTCTTGTACACTTGTAATCTTGTTCTAAGAGTAAGGAAAGAATAACAGTTTATAACCAATCCTTGTTGTTCCTTGTTGTTTTACCTTGTTATCTTTGTTAACCCTAACACTTGTGTGTTTCTTGATCATAAAGAAACCGTTTATATTTTATTTCAAGACATCCGATTCACAATATTTGTCAAGGCTTCTCCTAGTAGTTTGGCTACTTTCAAGAAGTGTGCAGAAGTTGTTGGTGTATGCTCTAAAGCATTGGTAACACTAGATGTAGAAACCAAGTGGAACTCTACATACTTAATATTGAATATTGCTGAAAAGTATGAACACAAATTTTATCGCTTAGAAAATGTTGGTGTTGCATTTTTTTACTAATCTTTGTATTGAGCCGAAAGGATGTCCTAATCGAGCTGATTGGGAACGAACTCGTATTTTTGTGAAGTTTTTGGAAACTTTGTATGATGCCACACTTTCTTTTTCTGGGTCATTGCATGTTACTGCTAACTCTTTTTTCAAACAGTTCATGGATATTCAAAAAACGTTGAATAAATGGAGGCGCAATGTTAGTGATCCAAATTTGAAAACCATGACTGCAAATATGCAAGTGAAGTACAACAAATATTGGAAAAGCAGCGCAATAAATTATCTTCTCTTTGTTGCTATTTATCTTGATCCTCGTTATAAGCTTGATTATATTGAATTTTGTTTTACTTGAATGTATGGTGTTAAAATGTCAGAGGATATGTTAAAGAAATTGAAAAAACTCATTGCTAAATTGTTTGAGCACTATTTAGTTCCGTATCTTGTTTCTCATGATGGTGGTTCCAGTGCATCATCTTCAAGCATTGTCTCTCATTCTAGAATTGAAAATGGTGAAGATGATAAAGATTGTGACTATTTGTTTAGAATGAATATGAAGAAAAAACAATGTGAAGTGCAAACAAATGAGTTGGAAAGGTATTTGAAGAATGGTGTTGAAGATGATTCTCCTACATTTAACATTCTCACTTTGTGGAAAGGAAAAACAAATAAATATCATGTACTTTCCCGCATAGCTAGAGATATATTAGTTATCCATGTACGCATTGTATCTTCTGAATTTGCTTTTAGTACAGGGGGGTCATATCCTTGATTCATTTCATAGTTCCTTAAATCCCTCTACCGTTGAAGCTTTGGTTTGTACTCAAAATTGAATCAAATCTCCTAAGGTCATTGATTTAGAAAAAGAGTTGGTTGAATTGAAAAAAATTTAGTCAGGTACGAATTATTTGTTTCAATTCTAAAATCTATTTGATTTTAATATTAAATTACATTGTTCTTATTAGTTGATTGTGTTTACATATATAGAGTTAGCTGGCAAGTTTCTATTAATCGATGTTGGCATTACTGCGGTTGAGCTCAATACAACCACTACTATTAGATTTTAAGGTATTTTCTAGTGTTGTTTTTGTTTTCTATTATTTGCTAATAGACTTTTGGATGTTGTTGTCCCCAAACTTTCTACTGTTGTTGTTGGAACCTTTTACAATTGTTGTTGCTGAATCCTTTTATTGCTACTGTTGCTGGAAATTTTAACTGTTGTTGCTGAATTTTATGTTGTTTCTAAACTTTTCACTGTTGTTGCTGGAACCTTTATAGCTATTGTTGCTGGATTTTCTGTTGTTGCTAAACCTTTCATTGTTGTTGATGGAACCTTATACAACTGTTGTTGCTGGATTATTTATTGTTGATGTTTATTTGCTTTTGAATCATTTAGAATTTATGAATTTTATAGAAATGGTATTTTATGAAATTTTCGATGTTATTAAGTGTTAATATACATAAATAAATTTTTATTAGATATTATTTGATGTTTTTCATAATTTAATTGTTAGAAATGTGCAAAAATAAATTGAATTGTGTTATAAGTTTTTTAAATTTGAAAAAAATATTTATTTTATACACAACTCGTGAACCCAACCCAAATCGTGAATGATCGGGTTGGTTCAGGTCGGTTTTATAGTAAAATTATGAGTTTGATGATGAACCCAACCCATTAAAAGCTCAACAAATTAGATAACGGGTTAAGGCAAACCTGGTCTAACCCAACCCGTCTACACCCCTACTTATATTACCTCTTTCATTTTATTTCCTTCATTATTTATTTGACTCGAAATGGAAATAATTGATTTGATTAGAAAAAAAGATTGTTTATTTTTTTAATAATTAAATGTATTAGATTGAAGTAGATTAATGTTACATTTTTTAATGAAAAGTTATTATTATTTTAATTGTTATAATCGAAAGAACAAAATTAGGGATGATAATTTGACTTATATCTATTGAGTATTCGCAAAAAATATCTACAATAAATAGGGTAAAAACTCGTAAAATGGACTCGAGAACGAGTATGAATAAATATTCATTAAAATAATCTGGTATGGGTGTGGGTACGGGTACTCTAATACTCGATCTGCTTCAGCACAATATATATTTATATATAATTATATAAAAATGCATGTCTGTCATTTTTTAAAAAAATAAAAAACACCACTATAAAATACTACACATTTTAATATAAATGTGTATTTATTTTATAATTTAATAATAAAATCTTTGTGGTTTTTTATATGTTGTTAAAAAACTTTAATATATTTAATATTTCATAATTGATCTATTTATTTTTACTAGAAATGAGGATAATAGGTACGAATACGAGTATTTAGATACCCACAAAATACGAATATAAATATAATCATTGACGTCTATACAAGTATAGTTTCGGGTACAAGAATTTTTTTAAAACATTAATATGAAAACGATACCATAGCACCCTGCCTAAATTCTATCCATTGTCATTCCTATACAGAATTGTCAAAATTAGTATAAATATATTAAATAAGAAGAAAAATATATAAAAAAAACAATTAAAAAACAAAATTAAAACTATATTATTTAAAAAGATTATACATTATTTCATGTCTTTTTAATTTATTAAATTCATCCGTGTAACTTGTGGGTTGCTTGTAAATGGATAATGTGGAGGTGGTGACGGTGAAGCCAATTGAAGCAACTCCGTCAACCTTTCAAGATTACGGCCAAGTCATCGAGCCTACACCGGAAAGCCAGAGGTTTGGTCCCCACGATGCTCAACTTGACCTCACCCATGGAATTCCCAGGTTTTCATTAAACCTTCTGTTTTTATCAACTTATCAATCTTTTATCTTCTTGTATCTTTTCAAATGTTCATTTTGAGATTAGGCATTTGGGTTTTCTTGTGTCTTTCTATAGGTAATCGGAGCCTTCTTAAGTTTTTGAAGACTAGCAAAGGTTTAACAATGACAAAATAACTAGAGCTCCTATTTAATTATGGGTATAACTATGAGCTATGAAGCTCGGACACCTCTAAAAGTAGTTATGTCGCGGTGTCCAATACATGATAGTAGTCAATACTTGTATGACACAAGTACAATATCGGTTGAAAAAGTCCAACAAATGTTGGAAAAGTAAGACAAATATCTTTAAAATTTTGATTTTTTCTTTACGTTCGACATATTTTGAGTCAGTGTCTGATAATTCATAAAGTCTTTTTTTTATAAATTGTGTTTTTCTTTTTCTCAACACAATTTTTACATTTTCTTCTGGGCAAATCTCACGCAAGCACAAAGTTAAATATGTATTGAAGCAATGTTATCAATGAAAAATTAAAATTCTCACGTAAGCACAAAGTTAAATATGTATTGAAGCAATGTTATCAATGAAAAATTAAAAAACATTAATTTTAACATATCAATGTTGGAGTATCCGTGTCCGTGTTGGAGTTTGTGTTCCATAGACTACTAATAATTTATTACGAGACCCTATTTAACCATTGCGAAAAAATTTGATGCTCTCAACTGTAGTCGATTTTATACACTCTGAAAGACAAGACGGCTTTGATGTACTGAACTTGTAGAACCTTGTTTGAGATTGAGCTCCAAGTCCTCCTACATATGCCTTAACTTATTGAAATTAATTTGTGTTTGGTAGGTTCTACATTATGCATCTTGAGAATTATCCGCTTAAGTTTTCTGATATCACACACCATGCAAACGTGACTCAGTGCCTTGGGTCCATTGGTGGTAATGTTTGGTATCTCGGAGTGGCTAAGCCGTCTGTTGTCGATTCGAATGAAATCAAGGATGACTCAGGCAAGACAGTCGTGAAGTCACGCAGTGGTCATTTTTATGTGCCTCCTGCCGCAGAGGATATCCAAGTTTTCAAGGTTTCGGGTCCCAAATTTCTCAAGCTTAACCGTGGGACATGGCATGTCGGCCCTCTATTTACCTCTCCGGCAATGGACTTTTACATTCTAGAACTTACCAATACAAATGTAAGTTTTTCGCTTTCAATTTCATTGGGATGTTACTTGCTCCTGAGTTCATTTGCAATGCTCTCTCTATAACAGGACATGGGAAGAATATTTATCTTTTTTTTAATGGTTTTTTTTATTGTGTACAGGGAGTTGATAGTACCACACACAACTTTAAGGAGCACAATGGAATAGCTTTTTCAATCGTTGAGTAATTTGAGCTTTTTCTTGTTTCCAGCATTTCAACTGATTAAATAAATGACAGATACTAGTAGTATCATATCATACTATATACTAGTGTGCATGATTTCTGGTAATTTAAGCATGTGTTTCGTCTAGCAACTAAATCACATTTTACAGTTCAAATGCAGAATATTTTGTTGAATTTTTAAGATCAAGCCAAGAGAAAAATAATCATAAGATAATAACACAAGATGGTCACAATTTTCATACCTAAGAGGCATTGGGTTCTTCTTTACAATTATATTGCAACATATTTTTGATATCAATGAATACCTAAGAGGCATGTTTGCTTATATTCCTCTATGTTTCTCTCTGAATGAGTCTAATATGGTATAAGACTTCAAAACTGATGTTCATTCCTTTCTGTCTTAATTTTTTCTCCAACTCCTTTCAATGGATAATAATCCCTATTCCAATTTGAGAACAAATTCGTCAAATTCTTATCCTTTGCCCAATGAGAATTCCTCCCTAGTTCTTGTCTCGATAGTAAGAATTACAACTTCTAGGTACATGCGATGAAGGTGGAGATGAAAAATATGATGTTGGAAACTACTTCGACACATGTCCGTATAAGTACTAACTTCTAGTATGGACTGATCATCAACAATCTTAACCAGTAAAGCACCAACAAAGGAATCACCAGCAGCACCGGTTATTTCATTCACTTGGAATGCATCCAAGTTTCACAGAAATTTTGAAAAAAAAATTCATTAGTTCTAAATAATCATCTCTACATAACTGCCCTACATTGTCAATTAGGATAAAGATTTTATCTTGGTGTAGTATTTTGCACCGTGTTCCCCGAGAGTGATAATGACTCACTTCAAATTCCATGAAACTAAATTGTAAAAAAAAATGTAATGAGTGAAAATGCCGAATGAACTCGGTCGCCAACACAACAACGAATTCTCTAACCAATAACTTACTGACTATCAGCAAGTATGCACAATTATTTATATCCAAACTGTTTGAGGCACTGAGATCGAACATGGAGAATCAACACCATGAGAACTAGATTTGGCATCCACTCAAACTCTTATACCTCTCCCAGTACGATATGGTTTAGGGATGAACTGAACGGAAACTGGCAGACATGTAACACGCAAGACCAACAAAAGCGGGGAGTGGTCGGCGGTGCATAAGATATAATAATGAGCGACTCTTGAAAGTTTTTAGGCAAAATCCAACTTCACATCAGAATGAGAGGGACCTCGGGATTGTGCAGGTATGAAATTGCATGAATGAAGTAAACCTTATAAGAATTAATTAGTATTACCTATACCAATAAGATGCATCTTTTTTTTCATTAGCCTAACAAATAAAAACTGCATAGTTAAGCGTGTTTGGTTTGTAGTAGTATTTGAATGGATGCCCTTCTGGGAAGTTTCTCGTAAAACGTGTGAGTGAAGGACAAAACGTGCTGAAAAGACCTGTGTTGGTTTGTGGGGTCAGTTAGTAATCCTAAAAGCATATGGGGTGTTACAAGAATTTTATAGATGTTTAGTATAAATTAAGTGATCTACTACTCTCCCTAAGAATTCATCTTGAGAGTTTCTAATAATGTTTACGAAATTTTAGAAGATTAATCTCACGAACCCCCTTATAAAAGGAAAATGAAGTTTTAGGTTTACTTCCAACCTAACAGCGAACAATGGACTGAAACGCTTAGTTTTCCTTCCAAACACGAATAAAGCTTCAAGTGGTTAGTTCCCAATATAAACTGAGATTTTATACAGAATTATTTTGAACCAACGCAAAGATTTGAATTGTCTATCCTCTGAACCACAAACAGAACCGAGATTTTATGATAGACTTATCTCAAAACAACTAAGCTTTTACCAGGTTAATCTCAAGAACCAATAAGAATATTTTCCACTAGTTATCTTCAAGAACTCATAAAAGAGTTTTTCCTTAAGTGGCTCAACTTACGAAACAAATAGAGACTTAATACTAAATCTCCAACCAAAGGTTTTAACAGGTTTAACTCTGAAATCAAACAAACACTTCTTAAGGAAGAGATAATCACTCAAGATGAAAAAGATCTCTTGGTTAATTTACAATATTATCCTTTCTAGGAGCCGGTTGATAAGCACCACCTGAAGAAAGGCTATTTCACATGTCTGGGAGAAGGTCGACAAGAAAACCCTTTCTCTACGTTGTTATTTTATGTTATAGGCGCAGACACACCTGCGCGAATTACAAGTGACTGTTACAAGAATGGAAGAGAAGTTAACAGTACCCGGAGATATTTAGAGACAAATGTAAATCCATTGAGTGGGATAATCATTCCAGTCCTAGGAGAGGTAGTGACCATTCTCAAGAGTCGAGCTTTACATATAGATTGTTTACAACCAGGCCAAAAGCACACATATACATTTACATCATACTAATATTTGGTTATTAGGAAACACTTGAGAAATTAAGGAAGCAACCAACCTAACGTGAACGAATATCAACTAGATCTTCTTGTGTGTATGACGTCTCATCGTTAAACACCTATAATTTGAACAAAATTTAAATTATGTTAACACAACAACACCAATATTTAAATTTCAATCTCCACAACAACAACGTACATAAACATTTTACTAGTTAACAACAAAAACACTACCTTAACTATAACATAAATAAATTAAATGCATATGGATGAAGTGATTACCCTAACCCATGAGTCTGTAATGTTTTCGGAGATAATATCCAACATATGTTTCATAACATAATGTGCACACGCATATGAGTTTGGTTGTTTTCGCGACTACAAATAATTTGTATATAGTGGTTTATACACACAAAGTACAAGTAATATATTAAAGAAAATTTAAAGAATGTCACAAATAAGACCACTTGCTTTTGGGAAAATGAACTATGGCTTTTTACTTCTTAGAATTCGACGCATAAGATTGTATTCATCCACAAATCTACATGTTGGGAAAAGTTAAACCAAATAAAAATTATTCAAAAGTAAGAGTAACATTTTAGTATTACAAAGAATATCACTTACAAGTTAAGAATTCCTTTCATCTTTAGATTGAGACTGCGGTGTAACTAGCATAGCATAATTACTAAATTTTACTTGGAACAAATAATTATTAGTTGCTAATGACCACTAGTAAAAACTTGAATATTAAATAAGAGAAAACACAAATCATATATACTTACGAGTTGAGAAACAGTCCTAGGTAACAATCTCTTTTCTCTTAAATTAATTTATTTTGTATGTACATTTGATGAACATTGGATAAATTGAATATGGTATGGGTCCAAGAAACCATACTTTTGTAAATCTATGTGTGCATAAAACTTATGGATGAATCTAAATAATATTAACAAAAATGTTGACATTAAAAGTAAATTAGAATAATGAATATAACTTGTAATCACCATAAAAGTTGTACTTATATGCACCATAATTGAAGTATGGTTACATCAATTCAACAAACACCCTCCACAATTTCCATAATACAACCCTTTGCAATATAAAATGTTATTCGAGATCATATTATAATTTTATCTGGAAGAACTCCCCAAGATCCTCTACCATGCTTGTCAATCATTACAATGGATCTAGTTGAGGCTCCAGGGTTTCAATCTTGTGAAGGAGACTGAAGTTAAACAAATATTTTTCATACTTCCACCACCTAAAACAAATTTCTGACATATGTCTAATTAATTTAAATTTGGCTGGGATAGTACACTCATCGATTTCAATTGTTGAATCATAAAAACAATAATAACACAATAAGTGATTTTAAGAACACAAACAACAACAATACATAACACATATTTTTAATTATACAAATGAAAAACAAAGTTTCCAAACCAAATTTATATTTCCCTCAATCACATCCCGAGCCACATTGTCCCGCACCACCTGGGTCACACAATCCTAGGCCTCCTTGGTCATTCTCTTCTTCACATCTATGGCCACAGTTCTACACCTCCTTGGGCACCCCCTCTTCCACATCCTTTGTCATCCTCTTCTGCACTTCATTGATCACGCTCTCCTGCACCTCCTTGGTAAACCTTTCTTGTACCTTGGATTTCATATTCTCCTAAACCTCCTTAGTCCCTTTTTCCTCCATCTCCTTGGCCACCCTGTCCTGCACCTCTCGGGACACCCTCACTTCCACCTTCTGAGAATCATACTCTCCCAATTAGCCATTCGTTCATTTTCTAATATTTTTGCTAGCCTTTGATCTACTAGATCTTAATCTAGTTATTGCGCATTATATTACTCTTTCACAATGATCTGTTAAATAACCTCAGGTTGGCACATTTCTAGCACTACAAATATGTCCATCATGCTGACAAATTCCAATCAATTCTACCAATATATCCCGACGTCAACATTGTTTTTTTCAAACAACAAATCCTACAACACAAATAAAAGTTCATTGCCAAATTGAATTAAGTACTATTAATAAGTTAAAAAATGAATCTTCTTACAATTTTTTTAGCAACTACGCATGTAGCTTCTAATGTGAACTCATCTCCTAGTCTTTGAAGTGCTCTCTTCCATTTTTCATGGCATGATGATTGAGATGAGCTATGATCAAGGCTAAGAGAAAAATCTCTCAAATCTTGTTCTCTTTGTTTTCTTTTTTCTTTTATCATAATCTCTTATAGCTTATCATATCCTTCATGAGACAATCTATGAGGATACATTTCTTTGCCATATTCTCATTTTCTTTTTTGACTATTAGTCAGGAACTCGAGAGTACTGTGAGACTCGACAAATTTCTCCCAAACTTCTTAATCAACAAAGCTATAAGTCACGTATGGAGGTGTTAAGTTAGTTCTCTTTGGATTTGAAATATAATCCATTATGATATGTGTCTTAAAGTTCCTCCAACGCTCACCAGCATATGATATCCATTTCTTTTCTAGCTTATCATGTTCTAGAAGAATAAAAATATTATACATTTACAAAATAAATTTGGTATTAGTATTAAATAGAAAAACAAATACATAT